TGGTGCCTTGCAGGTTCTCTTTGGGCTGCTGACTGGGACAGAGAACCAGTACACGAGCAGGGGCGGCGCTCTGAGCTCGCAGGAGCTGCACAACATCCTGCCCTTAGCATCCAGCCAGATCAGGTGAGGCATCCAGCTCTTCCAGGCATCCTCCTGCCTCTGGGAAGCTGCTCTGGAATTTGCTGCTTCCCACATTTCTTTCTTCCATCTCTTAAGGTTTGGACTGCTGCCACTGAGCATGTCGAGCTCAAGGAAGAGCAAGTCCACTGCCAGGAGCACAGAAAGAGTCCAGGTTGGTGTTTGAACTGAGCTGGAAAAACAGGAATATTTCCCAGTATTCATTGTCCCCCTGACACTGGAGTTTATGGGCAAAGAAGAAAGTAGCCAAACGTTATTTCACCTGATTTTTATTTTCAGTAAAATGAATCATTGCGGCAGCACAGCAGGGGATGGGGTGGATTTCTCCAGGACTGCCCAAACCCCACCCAGCCTTTGCCCCTGTGGTTTTGGGGCCACTGCTCTGTGGCAGGCAAAAACCACTGCAGGGGCAGTGGGGGCTGACATGGACGAGGGCAGTGCATCAAAGCTCATTAAAGAGGCTGCAGGAAAGGCTGAGGGACAGCAGCTAATGCCTGAACTCCTTTGCAGTGGGATGCTGCCCTGTAACCTGAGGAGGCCTGGCCAGGTACCCCAGCTGTGTGAAGCTGTCCTGCTGCTGCTCCCCTGGTGCTGAGCTGTAGCAGCCAATCTTTCTGTTGCTCCATTTCCCCCAGTTTAAAACATCTGCTTAGATGGAGCTCTGTGTGCTGGGTGAGAGCCAAGGAACACCTCAGTGCTGTGGCAAGCAGCAATTCATTTATTTCCTTTATTTATTACCAGCCCAATCTATCCCTGCTGGTCTTGGCAACTGGGACAAGTTGTTGAGTTGGTAAGAGCCAAGACAAAGAGGTCAAGGCCTGGTTTTAGCAGTGTCATTTGAGATGGTGTTCAATTTCTCAGAGCCCTTAAGGGCCAGATCCAGCAGAAGAGGTGTTTAAAAGCCCAGAACTTCCCAGCAAAGGTGTTCCTTACCTCTCACAGCTCAGCTGGACTAGAGCATAGCAGTGTGCAGTGGTGTCTGCCTCGTTGTGTCACTCCCCTCAGCTCCGTGCTGTGTCAGCACACCCGTGTCCTGTGCTGGCCACACTTGTCAGGATCCCTGACAGATGCTTGCTCCTCCTTCAATGCTAAAACTCTTCTGGAGAGGTTCAAACCTGCAGTTCTCCAGGAACAGCTCCTGCAGGGGCACCAGCTGTGCTTCTGCCACGCTGTGTGAGGGTTTTGCTGAGTGTTCCTNTCACACCCCCAGCAGCGTGTGCAGTGCCCAGGGAGGCACTGTGGATGTTTGGGTAGAACACAACCCTCCCCCCGGCCATGATCCACCATCGATCCTGACCATCCAACCCTGACAAATCCCTTTGTTTTGCTAAGCACCAAAAACGCTGCAGCGCTGTGGGAGCACAGCAAGCCAAGCCAAGGGCCCCGGGCTGCGAGAGGGGACAGAAACACAGCGGGGTGATTGCCCAGGGAGCAGAGATGGAACCACGGGAGCCAGCAGCCCCTCTGCCCAC